CTACACTAACAACACCAACTACACCAACTACAGCAACTACACTAATTACACTAACTATACCAACTAGTGTAGTTGCTTTAGTTGGCATAGTAGCTGTAACTACACCAGCTACAGCGACTACTTTAACTACACCAGCTACACATACCACAGCAACTATGGCAACTACACCAACTATAGCAACTACGCTAACTACACCAACTACACTAACTACCCCAACTGCACCAACTACAGCAATTATAGCAACTACGGCAACCGTAGTGGGCAAAGTGGTCAGGGAATGTCTCTATATTCGTGACGGTTATCGTGAACCCATTACCCAACACGAGATTTTATCGCAACCGACAGCCTCATGAGGATCGAGAGTATCCAAAATTTCCTTTATGTAGCTGACATCAACTGGGACAAAGTGAAAACAAATCGGAATTGTAGACATAGACAGCTGTATGGTTACAATCCTGCTCTGTTTTGAGTTCTTTCGGTGTTGCGTTGATGTCTTGCAAAGTTAATTTTCACGTGGTACGACCAGCTTTGCAGTATTCTGCTTGCAGAATTTAACATGTCTATTTGTTATTTTTGTTGGTCAGGTCTTTATAAATCCTACGTTCTTCGGCAGATTCGTTTGCGGTCCTTTGCAGTCCTTTGTGGTTTATGTTTGTACTTTATGTATTTTGGGGCCGAGGATCTCTTATAGATCCGATATTCTGTAATTTTGCATGGTTCTGTACATGTTTTTGAGGTTGGTTTTGGCCAATCCTTTCTTTTCTCTGCGAGACATCAACTTGACACTTGGACTCTTGTCCTCCAGAAGGCACGTGATATGACGTGATTCTGTGGGTGTTGAGAGTTCTGGGTTAGGGCTTAAATCAGAGATTGCGGATATTTTACATCAGAGCTCTCTCTGGTTGATACGCCATACTGAAGAGCTACGGCAATAGCGAAACAGCTGTCTATGGCCACAATCCCGCTCTGTTTTGAGTTCTTTCGGTGTTGTGTTGATGTCTTGCAAAGTTAATTTTCACGTAGTGCGATCAGCATTGCAGTATTCTGCTTGCAGAATTTAAAATATGAACAATTTGATTATTGTTGTAAAAGATGATCTAAAAAATTGGAAGGAAGTGTCCTCCTATGATTGTGGTACTGAATTTATTCGACCAGATCCAATTTAGAAGTTTTATTTAGAGCGCGTTTGCAACTGTGGCAGCTCATTCTTTGTTAAGACACTTTCCAATCTTGAACAAGATCATACACGATATGCCCAATCATCCCCGAAGGATAAAAGAACTCTTATATTATGCGAAACAGTCAATCGATTTGAAAGACCTCCCAAATTTCAAGTTCCCACGCTTATATAAACAATATCCGTCTACTGATTAGACAATTTGGTTTTCTTTTATTCCTTAGTCATCGAAAAATGTAAACATTCTCTCTAATTGGATGTATTGGGTGGGGAGCCTAAATGGCTAGCTTTGTGTACCCTCCCCCCTGCTTTGCCTTGAGTTAGACAAACTGAAACAGAGCAAGACAAGATATAGTTATGGTCATGTAAAAACAAGCTTTTATTGACAGTTTGGCGTTTTCTCATATCTTTGTCTCGCTCATCATCTTTTTCATCTTAACAGCAATGGGTACAAGCATCCTGTATTTCAACTGGTAGTCACACTAACATAAGTTCCCACAAAACAAAAAATCGCCAATCCGAAAAATAAACTCCCACAAAAATTTCCTGCCACACGGTATTAGTGAAAAAAGTACCGGTGGATGTTTCACAGAAATAGTAACCACTCGACAGTGGACCCTGTTGTCTTTAAACAACTTACCTGTCCAAGCGAACACGGTTTAAAATGGCGTCAAACAGCGCTTATCTGCTAGTTAGAGCCTTGGTCAGCCATGCAGTGTCACGATGGAAAAGTTCCCATTTGTTCGCTTCCTGCTGTGAAAGTCTGCAACTGAGCCACTCAGTTGGATTAGCGGGAGGACGTGAAGCTTTCCACTTTCTTTCCAGTCTCTCAGTGCAGTAGTTGATCGCGTCGGCTGCGTCTTCGAACAAAACTGCGTTGAACACCTCCTCCGGCAAATCTCGCGGCACTATGTGCCTTAGCAGCGCCAGGACGTCGAGCAAAAACAACTCAAAGTTGAAAGCCAGTGGCCGATCGGCAGATTCCGCGAATGCCGATGCCATCCGCCATGAAGTCCGTCTCCCGTGAGGACTTGCCATCACCATCTTCCTCTTTATCTTGGTTGCTAGCGCTAGTGCAGAGGGGACATAACAGATTTAGAATCGCGTTGATGGCAAACGCCAAACGTTAATTTGCACCACGTTATCAACTTGTGTCTTACTCTCATGAACACAAAAAGGAAAGACACCCGTTCATAAACACATACATACAAACTTATTAACATTCCCATATAGGCTATTCTATGTTAATGTACATGTCTCTGAAAAGGAAGAAAAATTTGCGAAATAGTGATTAAAACTAAAAAACATTCTTTCACAAATAGCGCTTAAGTGATCTCTTAAAAGTTTTAAATTTCATGTTGTTGTTGTTTTTTAATTCTTGATTGCTACCCACCCTTTCTTTCTGAATCATTCTGCAGGAAAAACTGCGGCAGTCTATAGTGCGATTTCACAGGAAAATATAAGTTACTGTGAAGTATATGTCCCATTCCTCTGTACAGCCGAGTACAAGGGTTATGTCAACAAGGATTTGTGACCTACCTCCGGCCACCTGTCCGTTCTACTTGCGCCTCCTGGTCAAAGAACTGCCTGAAGACCAAGAGAGGAAAAAGAAAAAGAAATTAATAACTAAAAAATAGATACACTCAAACCCCGATGTCAAAAGGACAACTTTTTTTTGAATAGACTACAAAAGAAATTTATGAGGACATGAAAAGCGACAAATTGAACATCTCTCTAGTAATCTTCACAAAGCCTTCATTGCCTGAACTAAATCCACGGAAACACTAAAATCGCTCATCTATTTACTGCATTAAAGACAAAACCGTCCTCTGCATGACCCTGTTAATGCCAATATAGTGTGAAATTGACGTCTAAAATTCATCCTTCCTGGTGAGCTGCAAGGTTGTCCGCATTAAGGGGTATCCGCATTGAGTGGCTTAAATTTTGAGAAAATGCAAGGGCTTGCCCCAGGGACAAACTGTCCGCAATGAAGAGAGGTTTTCCTTTTTAATAATAATAATAATAATAATCTTTATTCAATCGATAAAATACGTACTGAAAGTTACAAAAATCATAAAAAATAAAGTTAAATTAAATTTACAATTAAAGTTGGGGCTATGTCACGAAGCCGTGGGGACGCATCTTTAAGTGCTGCGCCTTAGTTCTTGACTAAAGGCTTCAAATACACTATTCAGCCATGCCTAATGTGACCATAAGGTCTTTAAAAAAGGAAAATGATAGCCTCAAGGATGAAATCACCGCCCTTAAGAGCTACAGCAGTCCATCAAACGACAAGATCCACAAGTCACCAGTAATGGCGGCGAACAACCTACTCGTTTGATTACCGACGCTGAGTCCCTAAGCACCTTGGAATTTTATGGAAAATCATACGATGATCTTCTAGCAGAATCTGTGAATAGTCTTAAACAGCTCTGGTGACGCCTAAATTTGCTGTCATCCCGAGTCGGAAAGATCGGAGATTCAACTGAACAACTGCAAAGGTATAGTTTGCAGTACAATATTAAGATTATTAGCCTTCCAGAAAGCGAGACGTACGAATCGGCCTCCCAAACTGCCTCCCTGTGTATCAATCTTTTCAAAGCCGCTGGAACTGAAATTTCAAATCAAGACATCGATATCGCCCATCGTATCCCTACCAGAACTGCCACTTCTGGCCTTCGACCAATTGTCTGCAAATTCACAAGAAGAATTGTGAAAGGGCAAGTACCGAATGCACGAAATGAAGCTTGTAAAGTGTCGGCCAATTCGATCGGACTACCGTCCAGTTGTTCCTTGGAAAACGTCAGGCCATTTGATCACCTTACTCCCTTGCCTCAGCAACTCTTGGCGGATTCAAAGAAATTTCAAAAGAGAAATGGCTTCAAGTTCTGCTGGGCCAAGAACTTTATTATTCATCTTCGACGAACCGAAGATTCTCGTCTAATCCAAATCAAGTGCCACAACGACCTTGTGAACTTTGCAAATTAGGAGGGTTTCCCCATGAGTTAAGTACCTTTCACAAATTCCTGAGCAACTGACACTTTATTTTTAGCTGAACTTAGCCGTCATTATGCTGGCTGACGAGTTTCATTTGGATTTCTCTTTCCATTTAATCATTTAGTTAATAGTTCCTTTAACCTAGCACTCTATGAGTTATCTCATGGCCCTTTAAATTTCAATAGCAACTGTCTTGAAATACTCTTATTTAATCCTATAGAGCAACCTGAGTTATCCAACTCACTTTCCAGTCATCTGAACCCTGATTCTAATTTTATTGCTGGTCTGCCCTCAAGTAGTTACTTAACCGAGGATGATATAAATAGTCGAGTAGCTCCCCTTAGCTACAAAATAAATTTTTCCATTATACACTTAAATACTACTACCACGATTGTTGTTCACTACACGAGACATTGCTACAAAATGAACTAAGAATGGCAGTTGGTGGTCTTTTATAGAATCTGGTGGAAGAAAAAACAATAGAAATGAAGAGGAGGAGGAGGAGGAGGAGGAAAAACAATAGAAATGAGGAGGAGGAGAAGGAAGAAAAACAATAGAAATGAGGAGGAGGAGGAAAAACAATAGAAATGAGGAGGAGGAGGAGGAGCAGGAGGAAAGAAAACAATAGAAATGTGGTGGTGGTGGTGGTAGTGGTGGTTTTGAGGGAGGAAAACAATATGATTTTGTGGCCTGAAAACCTGTATAAATGCGCAACACTCTGCCTCTTTCTCAGTCTACATTTTGCTCCTGAGGAGTTGACATGAGTTGGCTCTGTTCTGTCTGCGAAAAATCCTTTAGTAGAAAAGATAATATGCAAAGGCACGTGATGTCTAAACACCGCAATGCTGGTCTCACCCCATTTCAAACAGTTCCAATACTTTCACAGAAATGTCAGCGGTTTCGCTTCGAGCATCCTTTCACCTCCATGATTGCCGGAATGACCGGGTCCGGAAAAACGGCCTGGGTTCGATCGCTATTGCAACAAGCTTCAGAGACCATTTACCCTCCCCCGGAGAGGATCGTTTGGTGTTATTCACAATGGCAGCCTGCGTATACACAAATGTTAGTCGCCATGCCAAACATTGAATTCGTCAAGGGAATTCCTACGGCTTTGGAGCAAGATTCCTATTTTGATGTGAACAAACGGAATTTGATCGTTTTTGATGATCAGATGATCGACGCCAGTAAGGACAAGCGAATTGTGAACCTTTTTACTCGTGGTTCTCATCATCGCAATCTGAGCGTGATTTATATCGTGCAGAATCTATTTCATCAGGGGAAAGGTAGCTGCAGCATAAGCTTAAACAGCCATTATCTGGTGTTATTCAAGAATCCACGAGA